TTGAGCTATGACCTGAGCAGTCTCCTCTGTCGTGGTTATTGTACATTTTTCCCTGCCTTATCACAGGCTTGGCTCCCCTGAGGATACTGCCGGTCTTTCTGGTTAGGCTGAGAGCTGTGACAACCTCCACACCACTCACCAGAGCTTGAGATGCCATTTCCCAGCTCTAGGTGCAACCTGCTCCTCTGCACACCGACAGCTTCTCCGGAGCCTCTTTCTTCTCATATGTTTTCAGGCTCTTACTCTGCAATCAGAGGCAGAGAATCGCAAGGTTATAGGGCCAACCTGAAGCGCAAGCACCACACATTCTGCCGCACCGTATGCAGTCACCTACCGCTGGCTCCTCTGCCTTTTCCACAGAACCCTTTAACTTTGGATCTAGCCATGCATCCTCACCTGCTAAAGCCCCTGTGGCTGAGCTGGTGCAAGATCCCTGTTACCAGCCCGCTGCCGCATCAGCTGCTAAGGAGCATCTGGAGCATCTGGAGAAACGTGACAGGGCACCGCTCGCCATCCCGAGCTGCCCGCGGTACGGGCGAATGCAAGGCCCGTTTCACCTGTCTGGAAAAGGCAGCTGGAGGTTTAGGTCCATGCGGCTTCTGTGCACGTTTGCAGAGGCATGGGAAGGTTGCAGGTATGAAGTATGTAGTGTACTGTGTGTCAGTTGGCACGTCTGATCCACAGGGCTGGAGTAGCAAGCACTTCCTCGCTTTTCCCCAGGGCCCCTATGCAAAGGCAAGGGCCAATACCTGTCATTTCAACCTGGGAGCTGGGTCTTTGGCTTCTCAGCTAGTTTCCAGCACTACAGCTTCAAATCTCCGATTTTAGCCATCAGTAGGGGAAGCCTTTGCACCAGCTCAGGCAGCAGCAGAGCACAGTTCCCCTCAGAAACCCCGTTAACGCAGCTCTCTCTTTTTCTCAATGCTGTCCAGTATAATTAGCTTTAAAGCCTTGTAAGTCAGAAGCTGTTTCTTCAAGCACTTCATGGATTTCTCAGTCGTCTTTTGTAAGAGCAGAGATTAAACACAGAGTAACTGAAAGCCTCCTCCTCAGAGGCTGTCACCGACTGAACCCTCCTTGGCAGCAGGCACCACTCTTGGCAGGACGCTTGTCCTGGGCAAGTCCATGTGTCCTGCAGGGAGCCTCCAGGAAGGAGCATCTCTCTGCTGTCTGCTACTGACGGGGACAGCAGTATTTCTCAAATGCTGTTGTTGGTGGCGGTGACAGACCAGCACTTAACCACTGCATGAGGGCATCAGCTCGCTCTTTAGGAGGAAGGTGGGCTGCATTAAAGAAATCTTGAAAAACAACACTGCAAGATTTGCCACTCAGCACTAATCACTATTGCAGACACCCTAAATCCAGTGGTAAAGTCTCCTCCCATCCAAGCACAGGAAACCAGCCAAGTGTTTGGTTCAGTAGCTTGTCTTTTCCCTTCAGAGGCCAAACCTCATGAGCACTGTTGGTTCTCTTCCTCAGCATGGGAATGAGGTTTTAACTAAAGCAGAGGGCTGCTAAGGCAGTGCAGTTACTGGTGACTTTTGGAAAAGACTCCCATAGCAGCACGGCCGGGACACAAGGGGCTGGAGTGGAGCTGCCCTCTTTTACACGAGGGAAGAACGAATGTCGCTGCCATGCGGTAAAGGTACTTCAGAAAGTGAATTTACTGTTAGGCAGGCGATGCAGTAAAAGGCCCTTCTTTGACTATTACCAAGGCTCTTTCAGCCTCTGATTAGCCTTCCTTTTCCTGACCTGATAGCCCGAGTATAAACAAAACCACTGTGCAAATGCCCTTTCTGCCTACAGTCTGTGGGAACATGAAGAAAAGCTAATTCAAGGGGCAGGTGACACTGAAAGTCCTAGAGGTGATGCCTGCCATAGCAAGGACTTGTTTGGGGAAGAGTGCAGGTACTATCCAACTGTTGCCTGTACCACATATATGACATACTATAACATCACTATAATTGAAGCAAGTAAGACATCAGGCATTCGATTTATCTGTAGCTCGTATATAAACGTAGAAGGGTAAAAAAAAAAAGTATTTTTATTACACAAAAACTTTATGGAAAATCCAAAAACATGATGGGAGTATTTAAAAACTCTGGATCCCGAACGTGGACCATGAATAGATCATACGCAAACAAGCACCTGAAAGAAGGAAGAGAGATTCAGATGCTCCAGAGAGTCCCTGTCTTCTGGATGTAATCAGAACATGAAGACACTTTTCCATTATTTTCAGCTGGCCTCTATACTTAGTTGACATTGTATTAAAACACCCACAAACAAACCAACAAAACCCCCAAATCAACCCTCAGCGTTAAACGCAATGGTCAGGATGCAGCAGACGGTCACGGCCTGGGCGCGCTGCTCCTGCTGCCGCGGAGGCTCCAGGCTGCCCCCGGGCACGGGGCACCGCGGCGCCGCTCGCGCCCCGCGCGCTCCTTCCCCGCCGTGGCCGTCGCTCAGGCGCCCCAGCCCTGCGGTCTCTGCGCGCCGACGTGCACGATGGGGCACGGTTTGGTGCGTACATGCCGCATAGCCATGACAGAACTGCTCACAGCAGCATGTAGCTAGCAAAGGGCTCAACGGTCAGGGATTACCAGCTACCCTTCCTCTTCAGGAGGGCAGCAGAGTTGTCTACCTTTTAAATTATTTTTACTTGAATTGGCTGTGTCTGGATAGCATGTGCTAAGGATTAGGGTGGAAAAGTAAATGGCTATTGAACCCAATACGCGGCATCGACTGTTGGAAGGTGTAGAAACAAGAACAAAGATGAGATTTGGACCAACGAACAGAAATTGTATTTCAGTTTTAATCACAGAGAACTTTGAAGTAGGAAACATCTCAGAAAACACAAACTTGAAGCTCGAGCTGCAAGAAACTCATCTTCCAATCCCTGCTTTCAATTTTACACTCCAAGCAGAAAGCCTGCAGCAGTTCCCAAGGATGAACAAGAGTCTTGGTAATACTTGATCAGGAAAATGTTCGTGTACAGATGGAGCACCTTGCATGGCTTTAGCCAGCAAACCTGCACTTCTCCACGCGGCAGCTGCTGTCCTGCCTCCGCTCGCTGCACAGACACAGGAGGAAGAGCTGATTGTGTAAGCTGTTTTCCTCCCTCCAAGGAAAGGAGGATCAAGAGGGGAGAGCTACCTGAACTGGGCTGAGAAGGGAGTTTTATAATGGACAGATGAAGAAAAGATGAGGAAGCGTGTTCAAGAAAGGCAACGCAGTCTAGGCCGCAAGTAGAAACTACGGTCTTGAGCCAAAGCACTCATCAAAAAATTAATAGCAAAATAATACACTTCCCCAAAAGCTTTGCAAAGAGGTCTGGCTCTTCCAGACACGAGCACATGAGCAACAGGCAGGCAGGAACCTCGGAGGCGAAGCCAGAACAAAACGTTCCCCGTGCAGCCCCCGAGCGCCCGGCCGGGCCCGGGCCCTGCCGCAGCTTCTCCTGTCGCTGCCCCGGGCCTTGCAGCGCTCCCCAGGGCAGAGCAGGAGCTGTGGCGAGGGCACAGCCTGCAGGAGCTGTCTCTTCAGTAAACACTCACTGCGGTTTAATCATTAACCTTTCTGCTAGCACAGGAAAGGGAACGCACGCTTTCTGCTCTGGGATGTCCAGGTACATTTTGAGAGCTTTTAACCATTTGCAGAGCTCTTCATGGTCTATTTAGTCAGGTAGGTGAGGAAAACAATAAACTAGGGAACAGTTTATAAAAGCTGCAATGTTTTGGGAAAATGTTTATGTTTAATCACAATTGAGCTGTACAGACAGACAGTAACTTAATACACTTTCAGAGCAGTGTACTAAGAAGGACATGTTAACAGCATCTTTTCCCAATATTTATCAAGTCTTTACAAGAAGTACTTAAAATCCAGGAAACATTTGGCAAAATTACTTAATACTAAGAGAAGGATAACATCCCTCGAAGAGGATGCCCATTATATATAATAGAAACTGCAGTAAAGAAAAGGTATGAGGGAAGATATTTTCTTAAATGCTGTGGAAGTTCAGACCTGGCACAGCATTCCTCCTTAGGAATCACATAAAGCAATGAGGCCACTCCAAATTTAAAGCCATCTTGTTTTTATCTATTGGGGTAGTCACTTTACATCATACGAAAAGACTGTGTAACGAATACAAGTATCAAGAATCAGATTTTTTTTTTTATGGCACAAAATAAAATTTTCTATTAACCTGCATTCGAAGTTGTTAAATACATAATTAAAGACACAGAAACTAAAGCTGCCACAAAATAATATTTGCATGATGATGTTAGTCTTTATTCAACTTGTTAACCGACTCCTCCAGTCAGAAGCTGGAGAAAAACCTTTCCATTAGCTTGTTTCCGTAATCCATTCTGGATGAAAAGATTTTCCCTAATTTTGACAGAAATTTAATTTCTCCTTTATATTGTTACGCAGAGTTCACATAAGCTTTAATGTTGTACCTTACAATGCATGGAATTAGAGATTAAAATAAAACTCTACCTGTAACATAACCTCTTCTATAAGGTAAAGATATTCTACATGTTTAACACAGCAAGAATGTTAAGCATTCACTTTGGGGAAAACAAAACCATTTTGTGTACGTTTTGGTACAAAAGCACCTGTTAATGTTTTGCATTGGTGTCTCTCCCAAGTTTGGTGCCACCCAGCGTTCGTCTTTCGCACCCACAGCTCAGCAGCGGCAGGGCCCCCGCGGGAGAGCTGTGCCCCCCGGACAGCCTCCAGCCCCTGCCAGTGGGAGACGCCGCCTGCTTCTCATCTGCGCTTTTCTCCTACCGCTCCTCTGGGGCAAATTTCTATCTCTGAAATAATGAGTGCTGAATTATCAAAATCAGTATAAAAATAGCAGCATGCTACTAGACACGAAAAGCAGATTCTTACATTATGAATGTCAATGCAGATTTCTGCCTTCCTTTTATATTATCAAAATCTTTTTTAAAGTTAGCATCAAGGCAAGGGGTATAAGGACACACACTGCATAGTATGACTTGATACTAATCTGAACTGGGTATTTAATCAAAATCCATGATAGTTACAGGGTAAGCAATTTTTATTTGGAAATACAAGTGTAACTGGAATTGTAGTGATGAAAGCAGAAGAGGGAGGAATGCAGTCTTTTACAGCCCATGTCACTGCATCTCGCTTACATCCAGAGGTAAAAGCTCTAATTGGTGAAGACACAAAATATCTGTGGCATTTCATTTAACCTTTGTGATAATCCAGCATTATCCATTTCTAAAGAAATATAAATACTTTAAAACAAACATTGAAAATAAATCCTTTTGATGTAACAAACTACACTCTTTACCAAGAATTTTCAGTCTTCTTAAAAGAAAGGGACTTCACCCAAAAAATAATCGAAATATCAATGTAGAATTATCCTGGGAGGAAGAAAGTTGGAATGTAAACCTCTGTTCCAATTTAGATCTGAAAAGTAAAAAAAAAAAAAAAAAAAAAAAACAACGCATGTTTTCATTTCACATACAATTTACATCCAGAGGCTCTGTTTTTAAAACTATTTTCAGTTAAAAAACAGGAGACTTTACAGAACGCAGAGAGGTTGTGCCTCTGCTCCCCTCCCATTTTTCTCAACATGCAAACCATGACTTCTCCTACATCCCAACCAGCCACCACATTCACCCTGCAGCTCCCTAAGCGAGCAGCTGTGCCAATATGTCTGCATACAAGCAGTACAGACATCAACAAGCCTGCAAGTCTCAAAAACTACAGCCAGAACCAAGCTTAAGGGTGGCTTCCCAAAATGCTTGCCTATTAAAATGAAGTCGGTGGCAAAATGAACAGTTTTCAAACCATTCTTCCAACATGATCTACTAAGGGACAGATCCAACTCTCTCATTTTAACTGTGACTTTGGAGCTTGCAATTCATTCGAAGTAGATTGAGATGATCTTCACAGAGCTTACTCATATTTTTGTCTCTGTGTCTTCCTTTCTTACAGCAATTATACTGCACAGAGGACAGAAACTTAGAAAACTGTATTAGCTGCACAATTCAGCACATTCTCCCACACAGAGATCTGTTAGTTTGCAAATGTTATTCTTTTCGGTGTTCCTAGAGCCACCTATCACTTAAACCTTTTACAACAGCTTCATTATTAAAAGGATGTAGTAGTAATAATTTTTACTTCAGGAAGCTAAACCTCAACCACTGACAGGTCCAAAGTGCTATTTTAAATATTTGAAGAAAAATCCATGAAGATTTTGTCATCTTGAAGATATTTGTTCAAAAGTGCCAGATATTGAGAACCTCAAAAAGGCCAAAATAATGTCAGAGCATTTAAAGCGCCTTAGTCACATTTCCCATTTGGAGAAAGGACTAAAAAGATAACGAATTAAAACTTAAGACTACACTTAGAACAGCCTATCCAATTAAGTTGGCTCACTGGCTCTGCAAATTACTACTTATCCTCTGAGCCAACTGACCCTGCACCTTATTCATCCTCCAATCCTTACAGCAGATTCTACTTCTGCAGTGTAGATTAGTTTGAATTATAAGTAATGATTTTACTATTATATTTGAATTAAGAGTGTGCAGGGTCACAGCTTAGTGATAAAGCAGTATCAGCAGTAACTGACTTCGACAATCAAAGTTCAGAACTAGAGATGAGCTTAGTAGCTGCTAAGATTCAACTTTAATGATTTTTTTTTTGCAATTCACAACATGTAACAAAAATGTTATTTAAATAATTTTTCTCTCAAAAAGGGGGAATCTTTCTCATATTTTTCAGTTATTTCTGCAATTGTGGTTAGATAGTGAGCCTGCTGAAGCTACAGAGAAATCAGAAAGATGAAATCCACACATTTTCATGCAAGCCATCAGTTATTTCCATCACTTGCTACACCTATATAACTTGTAACTTACTCCAGTGCTTGGTGTCTTCATCAACATGGTTTATGGCTCATCCTGCTTTTGTCTTTTACCTGCTCCCTCAAAGATCTTTCTAACCTACCACGCAGGAGACAAATAAATCTGACAGGACAGGCTCTCTCCTGCTGCATCACCTGCTCTGCTTTCCATCACGATCTTGTTTCAAGGAGGTTAAACCTTCTTCACTTCTGCACTCACAGAAACAGGCCCCGGCCTAACCAAACTTATGTCAGGCTTGTCTGAGGGAAAACATTCAGCTGTTCTGCTCCAGAAAGGATTCTTGGAGCAGTTAAAGTAGAAGAACAGGACTCGGGAGCTGCAGAAACTAAGGATGTAAATACACTGTCACAAAAGACTAAGAATAGAACTCTTACCCAGGTGAGCTATTCTAAATATGAATGTTTTATTTACTTGCACTGAAACAATGAAAAACAGCTTACTGCCAAAAATGAGCACTTGGAGCATATGATGTTAAACACGTGCTTATTACTTACGTCATCAATATCTTCATCATCATCTCCAATATCATCAAACTGGATTTCATCATCATCCCCAGGACCAAATGTGTCTGTTTCATTGATTTTAGCTGAAAAATAATTTAGAGGAGTTAAGTAGTATGTTTATACCAAGTCAAGAGGGACTGATTCTTCTCGTTCAGGAACTCCCAAATTGAAGTGTAACGATTCTTACCATGTTCTGGGAGCTCCCCATATGCTTTCAGACTTCTGGCTTCATCTGCATTGTACTTTAGAATAACATCAGCCTTGTTATCCTGAATAAGAATTTATTATGAGTTAATAGCCATCTATGAGAGCAGAATAACAAAACTCATTATTTCTACACATTAAAAAAAAAACAATGTCTTGTTCCTTCTTTCTCCCAAGTTCTTCTAATTGTGAAGAGGAAAAAAGAAAAAAGAAAGAAAGAAGCTGATTTGTAGAAGAGTATTGTCATTCCTTCCAGGCAAGATCTATTTTTCTCCAATTACAACTAGCCTTACAAGTTCACTTTTGTGATTAATCCTTCTTGAAAGTGTTGAGGTATTTGGTGGTCCCTTCAAAATAGGGTCATGGCTTCCTTCTTTTAAACAGTTTACTGTATGCAATAACCCTAAAACATTTTACTATTCCATAATTCAGATTTTGCTTCTGAAACATTTATCTTCCAAAAACTAACGACACTGGACTAACATCCACATAAAGTAATTTGGCCACTGAAAATCTGGTAAGTGTACCTTTAAATTAGCTGAAAAACATATTATTCTATTTTTGGAATATTAAGTAGAAACTAATCATTGATAAATTTGAGTTCTTAAAGTAAGAGCCATCAGATTCTGACTACCACAATAAACCGTTGTGTGTTTTAACTCCATTATATTACAAGGTCCAAGTACCAGGGAGCTGCCTCCAGGGAAAAAAAAAGGTCTGGCCTGATGCTCTGAAGCAGCTTCACCCAAACACTCAGAGTGCAGTTAAGTTTAGAAGAAAAGTGGAACCAGGATTTGGTATCTATTTATGGCAAACTTTTTGGAACACAAAGAACTAAAAATCATCATAACAAACACCAACTGGAAGAAAGTTAAGGTAGGAATGCCCTCAGCAAGCTGCTGCAATTTAAGCACAGACATTTGTTATAAGCTCTGCAAGGGTAAATTCAATAGAATTTTTACCTGATAGTCTCTTAAGCCCACCAATATAATATCAGATGTATTTATCCAAACCTGAAAGAGTAAACATTTGTTATAGTCCAAGAATTCATCTTTTTGGTCCTATAACACAAAATGCAAGCACAGCAAATTTAAGTTTACTGGAAGACATTATCCCTTTCACTACTGCCCCCATTTCCGCTTTCTAATCAATAAGCTGGACATCCTCAGTTTCATATTTTAACAGCAAAACCAAGCTCACAAATACATTACTTACCTAAGCATATTACAGAACTAAGGTGAATCAAATCCTTTGAAAAGCTTCTAGCCCACAGGGTGACTACTTAGCTACAGCTTTGGTGAAAACAGTAGAATTCTCTCAAATGATCTGTCAGCTCAAACCCACAAGGGTAACAAAATGAAAGACAAGAGATGATTGGGGCAGGGAGGGAAGTGGAGAGGGAGAGTAGCCTGAAGAGCCCAAGAAACCTGAAGAGGAGTTATTTCTAGTGACTATATTAACAGTCAAAGCAAAGCCAGAAACCTGCAAAGCCAGAAATATTAATGTAAATGAACAACCAGTGCTGCCCATATTGGCTTGATTTTTTTGGAAATGGATGATATTTCAGTCAAGACCTTCTTTTAGGCACAAGGAATAGCTAAGGGATGCTTTCTGCATTGAGAAATGGATTCTGCACCACTATGTGCCTTTTACATATATACATTCTCTGCTAGCTGCAGCTACTGAAAGGGACTGCCCGCAGGCAGCCAGCAGGACTGGCCCCGCTGGCACCAGGACACACGGGCTCGCTGCTCTGCGCGGACAAACCAGCGGAGCAACGCGGCATTGCTCAGGTGAGCACAGGGAACACACCTGTTGATTGAGGACAGAATCTCAGACCTACTCCTCTGTACCATACACCATGCCCCCCAAGAGCCAAGTAAAGAAATACGCAACACCTGGCAACAGGAAGAGGGGACACTACCCAAAGGAAGCAAAATTAACACTGCAAACACTAACATGTGACTTTCCTGAAGGTAAGAAGCTTTCCAGATCAGTTTTGCATTACAATATTATTGGAAGCTAATGAAGAGGCATTGAAGCATATGAGGTGCCTGAAGGAAGCTTTAAACTTTCCTCAGACTCCTTATACAACTACTTCCACTGAGGACAAGGCATCCAGAGGAAAGATGACAACTACTCAGATCCTCCCCAGCTCAAATGGTAAACTATGTGGTGTACAAAACCCTATTTGTAACAGAAAAGAGCTGACAGAAAAGTGTCTCTGTGCAGCTTTTACTGCTCTCTTGCCCTTCGCTCAAAATCCCTCTTCCTGCTCACAGGAGCTTTCCTCCAAAAGGTAAGTGTTCAGCCCTCCAGTAGAGCACCCCTCCTTTCACAGCCACTGAACTCCTCGAGCCCACACACATTTACAGAAATTACTTTATTTTGCACATATGTCAAAAAAGAAATAATTGCACCTTAATTCCCAAGTGCAGCAAAGCCACCCTAGCAGCACTTGATGCAACAGCAGCATCCACAAACCTTGAGGTCATACAATATTGGGATAGGATAGCAATACCTCAACTCAGTTCTGTTAAGCTTTAACTGGAAAACACTCCAGGGAAAGAATCTTCTTGAAGGATTATTTTTAAAGACTTATATTAACTCTAATGCAAATTAACATTCTTATAGCAATTTAGGAAAAAAAATCTCTATTTTGCCACAGTTGCCACTTAAAAGGCCTTTCTTTTCAAGCAACCAACACTTTTTGGCTCATTTCACATAATGACAACAACAAAGATTGTAATCGATATTTCTTTCCCATAAAATATTTAAAATTTTGTAGGTTATTTAAAGTCACCAGCCTACACATCGCTTGTTTATAAACAAAGTTACTCTGGGTGTTCTTCATGGCATTCAGCAAGCCTTGAGGAACAGCCTAAGGCATACCAGGCTTGAGCTGAAATCAGATGAGTTCAAAACAGTTTAAAGCAGATCAGAGGAAAAAAATAAGCCCCAAATATATTCAAAACATGTAGGAAGTCTTCATTTTCAGAATCCCCTCACCTACTGACCCTAAAGCTGGGCTATTCACCCCTTCTGCAGTTATTGAAATAGGCATGGCTGTCGAGCTGGACTATCATTATATTTTGCATTTGAAGCACAACAGTTCACACTTCAATAATTTAGATGCAATATAAATGCAATCTTACTAAGCCCAAGAAGATTTTTCTTCAAGATGAAAGAGTTAGTATTTGATGAACAACCCCAAAATCTCCCCTGACACATACACGTCAGAAGAGCTGCCCTTCAGCTGTGAGCTAGACTTGAAACATAAAGGTTGCCATTTTTGGAGCTCAGACACATAAATACAAGGCAAAAAAAGTAATTTAATATTAAAAAAGTTTGAAAAAATAATACTTTTACTAAAAGATTAAAAACTATTTTGGAAAAAAGCCACATATGTATACATTTTTACAACCAAACACCACACACAATACCTCTATTTTCTAGTTAAATGCTTCAGAATTACCTTTTTCCTTAGTTTCCCTCTGATATGACATAACCTCTTCACACCATCGAAACATAATGCCTCCAGTCTTCCATTGCCTAACATCTTGATCACCTGGGCATACTCTGAAAGAGACAGTAACATCAACAAGTAACTTTTGTTAAACTTCTAACTTTTGTTAACTTTATGTAACCAAAATTTGCTGTAACATTTTATAAAACACAAACACCTGAGAGGCGCTGGGACAAGCGGTAACAGAGGCTGCTGAGGGCTGCATGTTGTTGCGGATGTTAACATTCCCCACACCACTCACCCTTGGTTGTATCCTTGTTTTTGCTTCCTCCAGAATGTTTACTAAAGATATTTTTCTAGCTCTCAGCTGGACTACTCAGTCTTATGCCCTTTGAGAGTTTATGGGTTTACTCCAGCATTGCATCTACTCTTCCCACTGACGAAATCTTGCCCATCACTGAGGCAAAAGGAGAAGTGGCACTTGGATCTGTATTTCCCACTGCTCTTCTGAATCCCTTCTGCAGAGGTTGTCCAGAGAAAACTGCTCCTCTTAAGAGGACGACACTCTTAGAAACTGTCTGAAGGGCATTTTTGTATTTATCAGGCTTCAACTGAGAACATGAAGCTTCTCTCCAAACCCTCTTCACCCCTGCAACTCTCCTGCTGTATTCCATCTCCGTCCCAGAGGGAGTTCCAGAAATCACTTTTCTTGCCCTCCACAGACACTACCAAAATTTGCAGCATAATACTACAATTTAAGGAAACAAGGAAAAAAATTGCCAAAATCATAACACTATCTGACCCCTCATACTCTCCAGGATCAGAAATTTTTTGTTGGGCAGACTTGTGCTAAGGAAAGATTTTAGAATATTACAATACAAGCTACATAGTCCAGCAAACTGACAGAATCTTATTAACTGAGAACAGTATTTAACTAAGCAGATCTCGTTTGAGAGTTGGAATGAACTTTAAGAATTAGAGGTGCATCAAAAGTCAACTCCTTTTTACTTCTGACTGTCACAGAATTATCAGGAAGAGCTTCAGAAATGTGTTTGGTTGTCACACATGCCTTTAAAAGCTTGAGAAAGGCTTCAGGGATCCAAGTCAGTGCTTTTCCTGTATTTCTTTTGATTAAAGCATCATGTAATTAGCCAGCTGCTAGGCAAGCCCTCACATAAATGCAGGCCTGTGTGAGAGTATTGCATACAAGACGGGTGAGCCAGAAAACAGGTGAGGTCATTGCCACCAACAGTAAGGGAGAAGGGAACCTTCCCCACCACATATGGTGCTTACGTTGCTTGTTTTAAAAGTTGCTAGACACTTCCCAATTAAGCCAATTCAACTAAATGAAGAAAAAAAGAGCGAGGCATACTTTTTGGTGGCTTGGTGATTTCAGAGAGCTCACACAAGATCCCAGAAATACTGCATTTAGCATAAAGCAGGCAGCAGGACTGGGCTAGACATCCAGCAACCACCTGCAACACTTAGATCAGCCAGGCTGGCTGCCCAGGGACCCCCACAGAAAGTGACACAAGAGATTTCCAGGGATCACTTACACAAGGATGTCAAGACACACGGCATGGCACTAAGGTTAAGGGAAAGCAAGCTTCATTCCTAACTGGCAAATCTCTAAAATTCCCCATTTCCAACCGTCTTTCTCTTACATTCAGAAGTCAAGTATAACCCCAATGAGGACGCATCTTTCTATTCCATAACAATTTTGTATTTGTCAGACATCTGTACACGTTTGCCTTGTGGACCAACACCCAATGTATGTCACTTCAAACCAGGCTGAAAGCAGTGGTGCTAATAACTTATTGCAGTTAGGAACTCACCTTGCCCATCCTCCTTGAACACCAGTTCTCGTTTTTCTGATTCATTTTCATTCTTACCTCGTCGCCTATTTTTACCTCCTTTGCCTAAATTAAAAAGGGAGGGAAAAAAAGAAAGAAATACAAAGCATGTGTTACTACCTAGTTGGTTGCAGTCAATTAAATAATCCATTACTCCGAGGGGAATTTCTGTACTTGCTCTTGGTATGGCAGCTGTGAGAGTTTCATCCAGGTCTCAACTCCGCGTTTATTTTAAACTTTTTCAGCCCTAAGTTGTTATCCGCCCGAGTGCTAGCACAGGATTTGGGCCTCCTCTGCTAACGACTTCCTAGTCACACGGGCACCGTGGTGGCTTTTGGAAGGGATTTGACCAAGCCGCCCACTTTCTCTCCGTCCCAGCGACTGCTGCTACCAAAGAACCTGCTAACAACGCTGGGGCGACCGGGTGCCGGAACCGGCACGGAACCCGCGAC